GTGAACTCGAGTCCAACAGCGTACGGCAAGGATGAAGCCGACCGTGTACATCCTCCACATCGATAACTGCTGTCTGAAGCATTACCTGTTTGGCCGATTGTGACAACCCGCCACCGAGACATGACGTTGTTACCGAAACACTACTTCTACCTTCCTGTGGATCTGGATAGATCCTGCCAGTAACATCCGTGTTTGCTGCAGGTAGCTCCTCTGGATTGTCCTTGGGCTTCTGTGGTACTTGCGCTTATGGCTGTTCCTGGTGAAGCATGCTGTGGTGCTTCTGGTTACACTTTGAACACGTTCTCTGGGCCGAACATGACCTGCCCATATGGCCCTTACGCAGACAGTTGAAACAAACCCTGGCTTCCTTCACTCTAACCAATCGTTGCGCAACACTCAGGCTGCGAAATGTGCTGCATTTGAAATTCGGATGGTCTCCACCGCACAGCTCACAGACGATCTCGCTAGACACTGTGGCTGCAGCAGATATTTTCGATGATTTGCCTTGGTAGCTGCTTACTTGATAAAAGGCACCGATGGTGCGGTCGACTCACACCGCTCCAGTACGAGACACCGCTTTCTAAGGAATTCCATAGATTCCGCATACGTCGGGAGGTCTCCGTGGTCGATCGTACCGTCGCAAAACTCCCTTGTTTCTTGATCGAGGGCACCTGATAGAATATGGACGATGATAATCTCCTAACAGGTGCTGTTCGTGGAACTTCAGGTTTTCCACATGTCTTGAGCATTCATCGATAAGGCTACGCAGCTCCTTAGAGGACTTTTTGCCATCTTCTTCAGCTGCATGTTATTTTGTACGTGAACGTCGAAAATCAACCTCTTATTTTCATAGCGTTGTTCCAATTTCTGCCATATCAACAAGCCGATAATTGTTATCTTGGATTGTTTTAGCGACAATGATTCCTGCTGCACTTCCTACCAGCGACTTGTCCAGATGAAAAAGTTTCACTGCATCCGAATCTGGAGAATTCCTCATCAAGTCCTGGAACATCGACTTGAATTTTGGCCAATTTTCGTACCGCCCATCGAATGTTGGCAATGGGGCACTAAGAGCTTGCTGGTGGATGACAACTTACGGTTGATCGTTTTGCTGCACTCCAGCGGGAAGAACGGCTCGATTCCGATTGGGGTTCTGAGCGTGAGCTTCCATAAGCGTCTCAATGAAAACTTGCACCTCGTTATTGAGCTCCTCGAACTCGATGAGCTTGCCTTCATGGTTTTCCCTCTGGTTTTCCGGAATAGTTTGCATTATTATGTCATGTACTTCGTTGTACTCACCATAATATTTATCCACATTCCTTGAGTGGACACGAACTTGGGGCATGGACATAGCTAGAGGCTCTGCTTGCGCTGCCTGAACCACGGCATGGATCCTCGACAACTTGCTCTTCACTTCTCCGCGTTTAGAAATCAACGACTTCAATTCCGCCATCTTTTCCTTCTTTGTTTTCTTCGGTGTGGTCATGGGGGTTTTCTTTTCTTCTTTGATTTCTTCTTCTTCGGTTTCTTCTTCGTGAACAGTGTCCGGATGACCTAGTAAAATGCGCCACATGGAATCGACAGATCAGTAGCGGGACTACTATCTGCCTGGATGGAAGCAGCGGGACTACTTCTGGAAATGTTCACAACCTTGGAATCAACAAACAAAATGGCAGCACGCAATTCACGTTCCTTTTCACTTCACACTCAGAATTCCACTGTTTTTAGTTTGCACCCATCGACTCGTTGATGATGCAAAATGCTTTCTTCTGATTTTTAGTAAGTTTTATTGTTTGAATTGTTCGCACACACCGTTCCCTTTATTACACGACGATTATTCAGCGCTCCTTGGGCACAATTTTTTTTTCACTGCATATTTTATCCGGGTCCGATGGACCAATGTTCTGGCTCTCCTGGTCTCGTTGGGGATTAAATTCAATGGACTGTATTCTTCATTTATTAAAACATCACATTTTGTCTTAGTATACACTTTTTAAACTATTTATTGTACTCAACTACATTTGTACGAATTTGCATCGTCGCTTCACAAAAGCTCTACTCCGAATGAAAGAAAAAACTATGGCGGCGCAATCACCGCGCGCTTTCTCCTCTCTTGTTCCGTTTTCCATCCAATGTTGCCATGATTTCGTTAAACATTGTGTTTATTGCCAGTGCAACCAAAATCGAACATAGCAACCGATCCAAATAAAAGGTGAAAAATTGTTCGATGTCCGTCAGTCTCCTTGAAGCGAACGGATGCTCGCTTACAGAGGTCTACATCGGAATTTTAAGTAAGTATGTTCTTCCGTGGATCAAAGAACAGTACGGTCCGAAGCCAAATGTTGTATTTCAACAAGATGCCACACCTCGAACCGCACTCAGAAGGAACATCTTCCGTTCCGGGCGAAGGATATGTGGCCGCCATCCAGCCCCGATCTTAATCCGCTGGATTACTGAATATGGCGCGTCATGAAGGCCAAGGCCTCACACTTAGAAAAAAATCATGTAAATTTAGGTGCTCTGAGAGTGACATATACGAGCGTAAATTTTGACATAAATTCGAGTCATAACAGACGCGAAATATAGCTTAATCTTTTCGTCGAGCAACGAACTTTTCAGTCTTGGAGCACTTAATATTACATGACATGTTTGTTTACGTCTCATTTATTATATCGAAGATGGATTCCGTCACGTGTAAAATTAGTTATTTCTAAGTGTGCTGTTCTAAACGCCACCCGAGTATAGCAAGCCTCAGACAAACATTGACCCGCACCTGGAGAGAAATGGATCCAGACTACATTATTAGAACCTGCCGTGCATTACGGAAGCATGTGGAGGCCGTAATTGCAGCAAGTGGAAACTCGATCGATGATTAACATAGTTTAAGACTCTGAGAAACATCGTCCCTTTAAATAAATAAAAAAAACTCGAAAACGAAATTTTTGAGAATTTTTTAAATTTTGTTATTGCTCAATGGTGCAAACATTATCACGCATACGGTAGTCCTCGTAGGACCACCTTGAGCGGCTTGACAGTCCAATGTTGTGGGAGAAGTACTCCACCTGTGCTTGGTCCAGCATGGTCTGAACCGTGTTGTAATGGTTCAATGGGGAAAGTGGCCACTTCCCCCATATATTTTGTCGATTTTTCCCATACAAACTTCAAGCCCTTTGAGCGAGGGGTTCCCGTGAACCAAATGACTTCAAATTTTGACAGGGTGTTTTTGACCCCCCTAACTACCATTCCAGGGGGTAGCGTTTGACATTCCAATTCTGTGCGTAGGTGGATAGATTTCCCAGATCCATCCTTTTCCTCACATTTCTAGATGAACAACTCAAAAGCTCCTATCTGCTTTGATGAAATGTTCATCGAAATTTGTTGTAGCTCTTCGATTCTACGCGATTCACTCACTAACCAGACCAGATCTAAGAATTGCCTCCGATGCGATGCCATGTGTCACTCAAGCGTCATCTTTTTGTATTTTTGATTTACACCGTTTCTGCAAATGTTGATCGTCAAATATGGCCACCATACAGCAACGATTATGTTTGTTTTTGTCATTAGTACGTGCAAAACATACGAAAACGATAAGTAAACAAGCGTGAAGAATAATTTAAAAAGAACTCAATAAAACGGGTAACATTACTTTCAAAGTAACAACTTTAGCGCGAATTTTACCGGCACGAAAATACTTTTTGGAATGATTTGATATTTCTAAAAACAAAAATAGAAAACAGAAATCAATAATCTAAAAAAATCAGTATTTTTCCTGTGATTCTTAAGAAAATTTACGTGTAAAAACATTTTTTCTATTTCATCATTTTAAAATTTGGCTAAACAATTAAATAGCAAGGTTTGTTGTCATGATGTCGAGTAAATGTGTTTGTACAAAACTGTCTTTTTTAACTTTATTAGCGAGATATTTAGCTCTTTAAAATTTACAATAGAATCACAGGAAAAACAGATTTTCTAAGATCTATGATGATTTATTTATTTAAAAAAAAAATCAAAATGTAAATTATTCGCCTGTGGTAGTAAGCTTCACATTAAGAACTAATCCTGACATTCAGACAACCAAAGTAGTTTGCCATGGGAGTCAATAATAATTCTATGGTACTCAGTTACGGGCAGAATTGAAACGGGTTAAAATTCGTACCTTGTGCCTGGCCTCCAAATCTAAATCAATGATTATCATTTTTACACAAGCAGCTGTGTTATGAATCAAACTGTGTGGAGTGTGGTAGATATGGTTTCAATCAACTTTTTCACCAAATCAAGTACCCTAGGGTCACACTCAATTAGAGAACGAAACTGTTTAAGTGTTTACCTTCTTCGAAAAATCTCAAACACCGAATGTCAATATTGTTCATCAGTTTGACTAGCGAATTAGCACCTTTCCCAAGCTTCAATTTTACAGTTTTCACACGTTTGTCGGCGTATACATGCTTGTCACATCACTCAGATTAAGATAAATTCCCATTGGGTTTCCAGCGAAGCCTAACATCCGTCATGCAACTCTCACATTGTTTGCTCTACGTCACGGATAAGTCACCAAGCACGCGGAAAGGTGCAGTACGACGGGATTTCCAGATTAGTCAGAATGATTGAATCCAAACGAAGCCACTCCAATTGAAAGCTCAAACTATCAATAAAATAACGATATTTTGATTTGCTCGAGACTGAAGAACCATTTCCAATGCTCAACATTAATTCAATCAAATCGGGGCGATGATTGTTCCGAACAAAACGGAGATTCTTCTTCCAAACAAGGAAGGTACCTTCCTACTATAGGTACTTCATCGTTGACATTTGATCCCAAAATTTTGAAACCCCAGCAGAAGACCTTCACCGCTCGTTGTTGTTGTGTGCATACCTACTAGGCACTGGCCGCACACTTAGCACACTTGAAGGTGGCACTTTCTGGTGACGTCAGCACCGACCGATCGCGATTCACGCAACAAGTCAACGGGCAAGTCGAGAGGAATTTGCCATCCCCGCCTCAGTCAAGTTCCAGCCGGTGCCACGTTTAGTTCATGATCGTCGTGTCTCGACGGAATCCGCGCGCGCCTTAGGTATACATCGTAGTAACAACAACCAGTAGGTATAGTGGCAGTGAAGGCAAGATCACCGGATCAGCGAAGCAGAAACAACCGCAACAGCAACGTTAACCCACCACCGAACATGCGGACCGGTTTGTGTGCCGTCGCGAGGCTCTCGGCCGGCTGCTGGTGCCTCAGTTTGGCATTATTGTCATTTTCGGCGGTGGTCACGGCACAGTTCGACGACGACGACGTCGACTTTGATGGTGAGATTTATTTTCGGGGGATAAGGCGCTAGACTGGTTCAGAATCTGCGCAGGGCAGGCATGCGTTTGGAATGCGTTGAATGCGATTTAGCTAGAAAAAAAACGTGTTTGTGTTGTTGCAGGAAATACGGCGACGAATGTGGAATGTGCTGTGATCGTGATGGTGATCAAATCTTCTGGGATGTTGCAAACAAGATTCTAATGATGATAAGACTTTTCAAGTGCAGGTTTCATCTAGGATCGCCAAATAGCAGATAGTATGTAGTGTTATATATTAGTCGCAGTGGTTCGGATGGGAGAACTTTGAAAAAGCCCTCAGCGGACTTCACATGGGAGGTCATTTGTGACATATTTGCGAAACCAAGTCAAAGAAGCGGGATACAGGTAGGGAGTTTTCAATTATAAACTGGAAATATTTGGACAGAATGTCCAGTAAAATACTGGACATTCGTGAGGAATATCACTGCTTATTTATCTATGGAGTGTTCTGAAGTGACTACCGTTTTAAAATACTCTGGATTTGCCCATGAGCATGCAGGATTTGTTCTAAGATTTACAGGACTTGCTCTCGATCTTGTACCTTAATTTGCAGAAGATTTCTCATGGTCTAGTGCATGTCAATGCTGGAAGAGATCAGAGCTTCTTGAGCTGCCACATGAAGGACAAACCACTACATTTATTATTGAAGTTCAAATTTCCTTTTGACTGCCCTAAAGATTCGTCTGAACTGGCCTGAAATTGATTCTAAATAAATTCCGCAAGACAATAAATTGTAATCTTGTGCAAATTTCTTTGAATTTCAGTAGTCATCACGAAATGAAAATCACCGATTCGGAGAAGATAATGCTATTTTCATTTTTGTTACACACGCAATATCGATTATCTCCGACCATCGCCATAAACACTGTCGTCATTAGAGATTCCCCAGGCGAGAAAAATGTGCTTATCTCAAGATTCCGGTCATTTAAAAACGAAGCTGTCTTCGGCAAATTTGATCAGATAACCAATTCTTTCGAGTGGTGAGAAGATTAGTTCAGAATTCTTTCACTACGTGAGGTTAGTGTGCATGTGAAATTTCAAAATGTACTATACCTCGAGATCCTGACAATCTGGAAAGTTACTGTTTTCGGCAAAGTTGTTCCAACCAAACAAGGCCTTATACATGGTGGACAAACAAGTTGAAAATTCACTCCCTACGTGGCACTTGTGTGCATATTATCTTGCAAAATGTCCTATATCTCATGATTCTGAGCACCTGGGAAATTTCTGTCTTAGGAACATTCATTCAAGTAACCAGAGATTTTCGAAAGGAGAATAGATTACTTCAGATTTCTGCCTCTACGTAGCGCTAGTGTACATGTGAACTTCCAGTATTTGCTGTCAATCAAGATCCTGACTTTTTAGGAAACTGCTGTCTTCAACAAAGTTAGTCATGATCACGAGATGTAGCACATTTTGAAATTGCATAGCGCCCTCTTGTAGCAGAATACTAAAAAATCTTTTCGGAAGACAGCAACTTCCCAGATAGTCAGAATCTCGAGGTATAACACACTTTGAAACTTCACATGCACTTTTGCAGCGTATACACTGATCGAAAACATCCGCATAACTTCTAATGATTATTGCATTGTTCGGGCCTGTTAACAATATTCATTCGATTGTCTTACGGTTGAATTCGTCGGCAGATGATGAGCATGACTGTCATCCAAATGAAGGATGATTTTTATTTGAAAATTTACTATAGAGCAGTGATTCTCAAACTTACGTTGATTGTCACCCACTTTTAGAAATTATATAAGCTCGCGACCCACCAATGTTGCTATAGTTAAAATTATAGTTAAGTTTAACTTGATACCTGTTTACGTGAAAATCGAGGGTTCAAGAACCAGCTAAATGACTCTCAAAACACCAAAAATCTATAAATTATTCCTAATACTTTAAAAGTTTATTAATGACAAAAAAAAATCGATCCACCAAAATGATACTAAAAACGTCAATAATGACGTCTTGTGAGCATATCAAAAGTTCTACCGTATGCGTGATAATGTTTGCACCATTGAGCAATGTCAAAATTTAAAAAAATCTCAAAAATTTCGTTTTCGAGTTTATTTATTTATTCAAAGGGAGATGTTTCCCAGAGTCTTAAACTATTTTAATCATCGATCGAGTTTCCACTTGCTGCAATAACAGCCTCTACACGGTTCCGGAATGCACGGCAGGTTCTAATAATGTAGTCTGGATCCATTTCTCTCCAGGTACGGGTCAATGTTTGTCTGAGGCTTTCTGTACTCGGGTGGCGTTTAGAACAGGCCTTGGCCTTCATGACGCGCCATATATAGTAATCCAGCGGATAACGATCAGGGCCCAACGCCCAGAACGGAAGATGTTCTTTGATCCACGGAAGAACATACTTACTTAAAATCCCGATGTAGACCTCCGTGTTGACCTTGTCGCCTTCTGGAATAAACACCGGGTCCATTTTTTTGCCATCGGAAACCACCAATCCAAATACCATAACGCTAGCAGGATGCTTGGTCAGATACACGTTCTTGTGCTCGTCGGCCACGTCTTTTACCGGAAGATAACTATATACCGGTCGGTTCTGGAATTTGATACGGGATCGACGGTAAACATGCTCTCGTCGGTGAACAGGATTACCGGATTTTTTCGCCTCAGGAAGTTCAAGATTTTCTCGCATCGTTCGACTCGTAGCTCCCGGATGCGGTTGGTAATCATGTGAGTTTTTCTCGTGCCCTCGACTTCCTTTACGATCTTCCGTGCCGTAAAGTCACTGATCCCGTGTTCCTTTGTCATTTTCCTTATTGAACGCACTGAATTCACGGGAATCTTCCTTTTGATAGCAGCGATAACCCTCGGAACCCGAGCTGACCTCGGACGACCTGTGTGTGGCCACCTTCGCGGATAGTTGTCCTTCTCTTCTCGGTCTAAAACCCTTTTAACGGTCCACCGGGACACTCCCATGGCGATTGAAATGTCTTTTTGCGACATTTGCGCGTGGGACAAATCACGAATACGCTGCCACTTCGTCATGGTACACCTGTCAAACTAAGTAAATCATTTTCTTTTATATACAGCCTACTACGGTATGAGCTATAGGTTACGTGCATGCAAAGAAAACCAAGGCATTGTATGCACAGGTGAAACGGGAACCTTATTTGTACGATGGTGCAAACATTATCACGCATACGGTACAGGAGTGCTACTGAGCTATAACTCAGTACTTGTTCTGGGGATCTTGTGGCTTAATTTTCTGAAGAATTCCCTTGGACTATTGACTGTTGTGTCGTCTACGCTGGACGTGATCAGAATTTCTCGAGCCACCGCCACATTTATGGTTGAACTTCACTGATCTTTTTGACTACCTTAAAAATTTGTCAGATCTGTTCTGCAATTGATTCTAAGCAGAGTAAAATGCTGCAGGACAAAAACTAATAATCTTGCAATATGCCTTGATATAACGATTTTTCAGCAATTGAGCATTCAATCATGCAAAGTAATAATCGTATGCAGTGCACGAAAATTCCATCTACGTTCAAAAGTGGAAGGGAACTAAATTTGTATCTATATTTTACATCAAAATATCGAATGACAAATGGCCTATGGAAAACAATTCTATGGACGAAAGGTTGAGGGATAAAATTTCAAAGCGAAACAACTGTTCAAGAGACGAACGGTCGAATGAACAAAAGGTAGAATGAAACTGAATTGTGAAATGAACTAACGCTCAAATGATACTTGAAGAAATAAAAGGTCATATGGACATAACTGGAGATCTTCGAGATTAGGGCGTTATTACTTTTGTAAACAAACACGTTAACCGTCGATTTCTCGCGAATCTATACTAAATCCAAAAAAAAAATTACCTACTCAAACAGGTAGATAAATGATTCCTCTATCATTTGGTATAGTTTGTTCGCAAGATTGAGTTTTTATTCGCGAGAAATAGGCAATTAACGTATTTGTTTACAAAAGCAATTACGTTCTAATCTCGAAGTTCTCCGGAATAGGTTGAATGGAAAAAAAGTAAGAGGTTGTATCAAAAACACGACCGTAGATTTGACGTAGGATTACGTGCTCAGTATCAATATTCGGTGACTGTGTTAGGGAAACCACTTCTCCTCATCACGGAAACGCCTTGCTTCTGATGGAAAATCGCACGGAATTTTTGATTTATTCAATAGATTATAAAAAAAAGCGAAGATTGATTGGAGGAATTTCCTGCTAAAAATTTCCAATCGTGAGATATTCGCTGTCATTCATATAGGGGGAATAGATGTAATGTTGGCCTATGGATCTAAGATTGGGCCCATCGCTAAAAATCTGCTATTTATCAATTTTATCTAGATGAACGCGTCATTGGGACGGTACTCATGGATATGTCTATTCGCTATTGAACATTTAGTCGATTGCTGAATTTATGTATGGGCCATAATTAGGGACATTTAGGCCAACATATCATCCATTTCTCCTAAATTCAAGATTTTTGTGCTTGTTTCTAGCGTCCTGGAGAAAACCTATCCTCAATTCAAAGTGTTTCTGGTTAATTGTCAAGGTCAATGGATGGAATTCGATTTTGATATCTGTGGGAAAGCGCTTTTTGCAGTCAATCGGTGATAATTTCAATCATTATTCCAACAGTTCTTCATTTGTGTAATTTTCAATAGCGACTTATTGAAAAATGATAAGGTATTCATTTCAGCAGATTCGTAGAAAAATTTCCAATCGATTGGTTGTTTAGAATTAAAATCCATTCACTATTGACAGAGTTATAAGTGGTCAAAACCTGACCACTTTTCGTAACGCGGTCGATTTAGGTTTTTTTTTTAAATTGTACCCGCAATATGTTTCCGATAGACGTAATCCTACGTCAAAAGTTCAACAGAAACTTAAAAGAGATACAAAAAAAGCAAATGGGAAGAAAAGTCGATTCACTGGTAGAAATTAAATAACGGTTGAATGCAACTTAAAGGAACAAAAACTTGAATGCCCATGAAGCCGTTTGAACATCAGGGCGAATGTTTGTAAGATCGAATAGACAAAAGATCAAATTAAACAAAAATTGACAGGTTTTGCGTGATTTTGATGTTGGCAGGGGAAATTCCGGAGGGAGCTTCTGCACGATTTCGTCGGAGAGTTTCTTTGCTGCCGGAGAAGGTTGCAGGGAGATTTTCGTGAATTCTCTACTCCGAGTTTTCTTTTCCTGTTGTGTTTTTTTATCTTCGCCTCGATGCATGTGTGTATGTAAAGGTGTCACCGAAAAAGTGCATGCTTTGTTTTGATGTTCACATCCCACTAAATAAATGGTTGATGCAAACGAGGGAAATTAAATGCATTTGATTTAAATTAAATGCTTATTAAATTGGCATTCTAAAAGTGGGACTTCCCTAGTGATCCACCATTTCGCTTAGCTGGTGACACTGTTCAGAAAATCATTCTCAAATCTCATTCATTGAACCACCTTGCGAGAACAAACTCGCGTGTAAATTCGGCAAACAAAATTTACGCTTGAGATTCTCATGCATATTTACGCACTCATACTCACAACGCCGAACAATCATTCCAGCTTGAAACACATAAAAACCACTGAAACGTCAATTGATAGCGCACTTATACACGGCGAATGAGAACGACCCAAATTTGAGTTTAGTTCACTCATAATCGCCAAAAGTGCAAGAACTCAGCGATGAGAAAATTTGCCTCATGTTTTCCCAGGTATTTCCAGGGAAAAATTCCCGAATTTGAGAAAAGCAAAGATTAGATTCACTCAGTCTATTGGTACTACTCCGAGACTGAATAAATTTTTCGTCAATTTCCTCATTTTCCGGCAGATTTTTTAGGTTTTCCACAGGAAACCATGAGACAAATTTTACTCATCGCTGAGTACCTGCACTTTTGGCGATTATGAGTGAACGAAACTCAAATTTGGGTCGTTCTCATTCGCCGTGTATGCACCCCTGATGCACCCCTGATGCACAAACAATAGTAGTAAAAATTAATGGCGCCAATGTGTAAAGAAATAAATTTTTGAACATCAAAACTCATCCGTGATTTTGCGACGTTGAATTTTGGAAGGCAAAACTCATAGGCGCATAAACTCATGCATGAGATTTTAGTTTTTCAGTTTCTCCGAACACTGGCTGGGGAACCGAATTTTTCGATATGAAAGCGCCTCTGTGGCTAAAAAGGCTACCAATGTGATTGTTTATCTTCACGTGGGGTAAGGTACACCGGCACAAGTTGAAACGCGTGGGGAAGTTGAAATGGTAGGTGTATCTCTTGCCGGAAGTGAATAATCACTCAGCTTATTTTTAATCTAGTAGCTTGCGGTAGTACACAAAGCCTTTCAAAAACTAATTACAGTGAATATTCATTTCCGCTAAAAGATACACTAACTGTTTCAATTTCCCGCGCGCTTCAACTTGCCCCGGTGTAGCTTAAACCAAATGAGAATTTGTATAAAATTTTAAATGTTTGTATTTCAGCATATTATTTTATTCGATGCCAACACGTCACATACATTTTCATACAATATAAAACATGTAATTAATTAAATCGGTTGATTTTAATTTTTGTTATAAGTGCTGTATTAGCGCCCTTCCTTTGAATGATTGTTGCTGACCTTTTTCAACGCCAGATGGTGCGCGATGCAATATTTTTCGGGTCGCCATTGCAATTTATGGAAAAGGCATGAATGGATCATATTGTTAATATGATATATTTGCTGAAGTTCTCTGATCATTTACGAGAAACATCTATATACATCCAATGAAATTTGAAACAGAGTTCCATTCGTGTTTTGAACCCGCTCAGAAATAAAATAGAGAAGTCGAGCAGTTACAAATCTTGGAAAAAATTGTGCTCGAATAATGAAACTGCAACGCAGCAGGTGCGTTTCTGTTTAAGTTTCAAATTGAAACAGTCCATATTAAATTCATCAAAAATACAACAGCATTTAAGAGCACCAGCTACTCAAATGGGTGATCCCTGCTCTAAATTTAAAATAATGGGGATCAATATCATAACGTTTAATCATTCTAAATGATTGAGCAGTTCTCGATTGATTTTAGTTTGAAAGTTAAAAGACAAAAAATGTTGCGATCAACAAAACATTCCAATCCATGAACCATGAACCAGTCTAAAACCCTGACTAAACCGTTACCTTCGCTCGACCGTATCTCATGCCTTTTATGTTCCCTTTTAGTCACAACGGCTAGTGAAAAGACAATGCAAGATGTTAACCTCGATGACGACACCAACAACAACAACAACAACAACAGCAGCATGCGATGCTGGAGCTGCGTCGCCAAATTCCGCACCTGGGCCGACTGCCAGAATCTGGACGAGATGGAGTACTGCGAGAACCCGGATGTGACCAGCTGTATGAAGAGTTCGATCCGGATCGAGGGACTGCTGGGCCGGGACACCCGTTACCACCGGTTGGCCGGGTGTGGCCTGAACAAAACCGCCCTCCGGGATCACTATTTCGAGTTTTTCGAGATCACCTTTGGCGACAGCGACGCCGTTACGTTGGAAGAGTTCACCACCTGCGAGGGACCGTTGTGTAACGTTATGGACGAGGCAGCACTGAAGCATGGCAAGTGGCGCACGGTGCACGGGAATACGATCACCGGGGCGGCGGTAGCGGGTGGAGGACTGGCACCGACGGTCGCTCTGCTGATGAGCGTTGCCGTAGCGATAAGTTCATTCGTGTAATAGTACAATAAATCATCCATTGTCGACATATAAAAATTATCATCAAATGGGTGCAAAGTGTAGTTATGCCTAATTTCCACCGCAAATCAAGCTGAGCGATTCAGAAGCGTTTCCCATAACAATTTTAATTGTTTGCTCCCTCTCCACTCCAGTCAGAGCGGTACAAGTGCGTTGCCAAACCGGTTTTCCAACGGATGATAGATGAAGTCGGATTTATCGCAGTGTAGGCCGGTCTGTTGCACGCATTTGGGCTATCGGGGACTTTAGTTCTAAGCAGCGTGACGAATCAGCTCTAAGGAAAATCCAAGTTCCGCGCAACTAATATCGATCGGGAAGGGGGGGGGGGTTTTTTTCATCGCATATCCAACGTCGAGATGTCATACATTGACTGCCTATTATGGTTGTGAAGTTAATTACTTTCCGATACTCATCAGCGAATGTGACTCTGGCAAGCGCGCATGACGAAGCAGTAAGGTTTTTTGAAATTGGTGAATAGGCGGAACCATGCCCAGTGGAATCACTTACGGCGCAATAAAAAATAAGCCAAGTCAAAATTTAAATTCAAGTTGGGCAACATTTCTGCGAGTCACGAGACCGATTGAGCTTTCACGGTTCGCTACCGGTGCGAAGCGAGGGCAAAAAATCAATGTAAACACAGTTCAAGTTTTTTTTTTTGTTCGTTGCGGTTGTGAAATTCTTCCTGATCCGATGGCTCAGGCATGGATAATTATAGCGATGAGATATGGAAGATCATTATGCTAGCAAATTGGAGAGAAAGTACTTCGTTAGTATTAAATAACGAGATTGATATCGTTGCAATGCTCGCGGGGAAAAAAACATTTAGGAGAGACTTTTTTTAAAGCAATCAATGACCAACATGAGTGCAATCTGCGATAGTTGATGTGTAAGATGACGAAGTAGCTTGACGATTTGACATTGGTTGGAAACGAGTGTATCCGCTTTGTACGGTATTTGGTGAAACTATAACTTTTTTCGCGCCGTTTAACCATTTGCAATGAATTTCATTTGCAGCGCTGAATCCTAATCCACGAAAATACGTTATTTAGTAAATTCAAAATCGCATGTCAAAAACAGTACGTATTCCAAAGAATCTGAGCACATATTTGAATTCATCGAGGCAAAATCTATGAAAAGAAAATAAGCTTTCTAGTTCAATTGCTGCATTTGAAAATCAATTGCTTAGGTTATATTTCTAGTACAGAAGTTTAATAATTGCAGAACAAGAATATGTGGTATTCAAACTGTTTGCAGAGACATTCGTTATTGGAAAGGAATTGGGTAAAACAGGCCTTCGCCATTGTCTCCAGTTAATGAGAAATAACGCAATCGATTCCCTGGACAAGTATCACATAGGCACAGGCATTAGCATTCCAGAAATTTCTAGTGTAATTAAAGCAAAAAAACCTTTCTCTGTGTTAACTAAACCCAGCTAAGTTTGAAGGCTAATCATCATTGAAACGAAAAATGAGTCAAAAATTCACACATTACTCACTATCGCCCACATCATAGATTTAGATTGGGAAAACCATGCAGAACAACGTTGTCGACGGCCGTCAGTCGTTACTACTAATGTGTGCTGCTCGACGTATACCTGCAGGCGTATATCAGACCAGCGTGCTTGCGCTTGGGGAGCCCGGCTGCATGCTGATTACTAAATGGATAATAACTTATTGCACAGAAGTCAGTACAGTACAAAATTAAATAAAAAAAAATATACAGATTTTTTGGAAAAAAAATCTTGAAGTAGCAGAAGGCTCCCTGGCTGACTGTCATGCAGTTCCGTACCCAAGCAACACAGAAAACATCTCAATTTTTTTATTTAAGTTGCCCAGAAATCCCTTAAATGGCACAGGAAATACATCTTGATACGACTAAGTTTCAACTTTGTTGCTTCATTTACTTTAGGTCACAATAATGAAACTCAACTGTTTCAATGTACTGCTTGGATGACCTGTCAAATCATGCATCAAATGGGAGGAGCAAACATGTTACACTCATATTGGTATGAAGTTATATGCTACGTGATATTGTATGAAACACTTGAGCAACAAATCTAACTTGTGTTGTGTTTGTTGAATGAGAGTTCCATAAAACAATATGTTTCTTAAAACTTTGGTACATCAGACTGTGAACTATATGTTTTTTGTACCTATTGAGCAACTGTTTCGAGATGTTACTAAAAAGTTGACGAACAAAGATGTGCTGAAGAACCTGTTTGCAATCTTGTTCCAAGTAAGCATACTTTTGGACAACATTGGCAAAAGCGGAGAAATCGTAATGCATGTGCTAACATCTGCATAGGAAATGGAAGACCACCACGAGGAGGATAGGATTACGGATGGCGGGGGACGATGGTGACTAAAGACGTTACCAACAGCGGCTGGCATGGCCTTAGTCTCTAAATCGACCGGATGTTCCAAAGGGCTTAATAGAACGGTGAGAAGCCTGAGGTGACGTTGTATTGATTGTTGCGTGAGCAGGGGGCAGCAAATATGTTGTATTTGCCGGAACTGCTGGCGAACTGGAAACGGCACCAAATAGCGGGCGGATTGCCAGAACTTATGACTCATAATGCCGAAACCAGTTAAGCCAAAAATTAATCACAGTCGCAAACACAACCGTACATACAAATAAATATGGTTGTACTGGTCGTACAATGTACACAATCAGAATGCTGTTGATGGCTGGCAGCCATATGTAATCCACCAGAAATAAACATAATAAACTTATTTTTCAATTTATTCATGTTGCACATCCTATTAACATAAAAACATGAAATACTTATTACAGCTATAATGTTTTCCAATAGTTTGAATATGTATATATTTTTTTGGAGATCAATTTTTTATTTCGACACATTTTTTAAGCTGCAAATTTGTGGCATCAAGGTGTTACTTTTCAGAATGTACGTATATTTATTCGAAGTAAAATCTTTCGTTTCACCATAAAACGTTTGAAGCGTTTGAAAAAACTGACTACTTATCAATATTTTAATGTAATTAATTTCATACTATTATTCCAATGACTTTTTCTACGATTGTCATCTCTGATTTTGCAGACCAAATAAAAACATCAGTATGCTTTTTCCGCATCACGTCACAAAAATATCCAATAAATTTATATGGATAACTTGAATGTCATTCACGTGTACTCGAAAACATCACAGTACTGTTTTTCATATTTCAGTTAAAACCTCATTTACAAGTTGTGTCATGCAAATATCATGTTACATGCATCTTTGATTACAACACCTTTTGCAGCAAACGTAAGTTGCAAAGAGACTCCACCTTCTGCGTTTTTTAAGGTACAATGAAGTTTGATATGCGGTGCGTTGTCCATAATTTAGACCGTCTATTAGTCGCACTAAAGTTGTTGTTACTAGCTGAGAAACAAATGGTGTTGCTTGGGTAGTGTGTGATTGTATAAGGGCAACATACGAATCACAAATCATGATGTTTGGCCAGAAATATTCATTTCCCTATATGAAATAAGAGAAGAGAAACGTTACAAAGCGAGACATGAAAAAAAAAATTGCAGCCTATGCAAGGAAAAGTAATTGAAAACTGATAAATTCATCATCAAAGTTTTGTCAGTTAATTTTAGGAACGAAATTTATAACACTATTTTTAGAGTGCGTTGCGGCAACGTGACAGCTAAATCTATTGTCTAACTGTCCAATTTACGTCAACGCAATACAAACGTATCTAATGTGGGTGGCCCTTTAGAATTATTCTAAAAGAAACACCGGTTAAGTAGTTTGAGTTTCGAAAGGCAAATGGTTTGAAATTTGTCTTTGCATGGTAAAGTCAAACTTAATGCGTATTATTTATTTCGTTTGGAAGTGCTGCTGGATCAAATTTGAGATGCTTCAATATAATTTGTCATGAAGTGCGAACAGAAGATTAAAATTAGAGCATGAGCATGAGCATGAGCATGATTGACCGCCCACGGTTCCTACTTTGTTATAGCCAGAACAGCTGTAATTACACAGAGAACCAATAGACGATCATCCTTAATGTCTAAGAACAGATGATCTCAAACTAGACAATACCAGCGCCGGCCGCGCCCGAACACAGGTTAAGAAAGGAATGGGTAGGAATGTGTTGACATAACCTCTGCACTTCCACGAGGATTCACTGGGATATTTGGTATGAGGGTTGGGATTGCAGTAGGGTTCGGTTTGGTAAACGATAAGCTGAATTGATGTCCTAACGCGAAGGAGCTTGGGATTGAACCCACGATATTCTGCTCAGTAAGCAAAAACGTTAGCTAAAGGGTGTCCACGATGAAATTGCCACACACAAAATTGATTCGCAAAATTCGAGTTTTCATCCGATTGCCATCAAATTTTCAGGGATTGAGAAATAACTATTAAACTTCATTTTACCATTTTACTCGTATTTTATTTACAGTCCATACGCAAATGCCCGCACCTTGGCCTTAACCCCGGCCATAAGATTCTGCACAACCTGTGAATCAACCGTTTTTTGCATGTAAACCGATACTTTCTTCAGTTCCTCGACTGTCTTCACTACCTTAGGTCGTTTAAGAAGGTGCTGCTTCATAATCGCCCAGTACTTCTCGATGGGGCGGAGCTCCGGAGTGTTGGGAGGGTTGAACATTTTCGGCACGAAATTGACCTTATTGTCCGCATACCACTTCAGCACGTCCTTGGAGTAGTGGCATGAGGCCAAATCCGGCCAGAAGATTGTTGGGACGTTGTGGGCCTTCAGGAGAGGAAGCAGCCGCTTCTGGAGGCACTCTTTTATGTACACCTGTCCGTTCATTGTGTCCTGGGTCACGAAAGGTGCTCTCCGCTTCCCGCACGTGCAGATGGCTTGCCAAACCAAATTTGGACATCTTCTGAGTGCGGACATGCTCCGGAACGCTGAACTTATCCTTGGCCGTGAAAAACAGGTTGCCGGGGATCTGTTTGAAGTCGGCCTTCACATATGTTTCGTCGTCCATGATGCAGCATTCAACTTTCGTCAGCATGTTGAGGTACAACTTCCTGG